CATATAATTGTACTGGACAAAATTGCGATACTGTGCGGTATTTTCCCCCCACCCCTTTTATTTTTACATACAGAACTAGATATAGCCTACTCCAGTCTAATTGCTGGGCTTCAACAACAGTTATTGAGTTGCTATAAAGTCAGGGAAGCACAGTATTTGTATAATTTGGTTGTTGCATTTGTAGGGAGCATAATGCTTATATGGCATATGAAATATGGCATAGCTGCAGAAAAAAAGGTGCATTTTAAAATAGTTGTTTCAAACCTGGTTTACCAATGACATTGGCTTTATCTTAACTTACCTAATAGTGTAATACTTGTAATAGTTTACAAGTTTAAGACTAATTTGTGTTTAGTAAAATGACCGTATTTAACACCATTTAGGGAAATGCTGATAGGTGACACCTAAAATTAGGGTGGGGGGGCTGGCAGAGGGGGCTTCAGTTTAAAGAAACAGCCCCTTTAAAATGTCTGTACACGTCCCTGACTAGAAGTAACACATTTCCGATATCTCTGTCGAACACAGTTTTATAATACATTTAGTCCACAGATCACATTTTTACTTTCAGTGCGATAAAACCGACATGTTACCCTAATCAACAAAATGTTTGTGGCATGAGTGCAGGTGAAGAAAGCAAACATTTTGATGTTTTCATTTTTGTTTCTGTGATCTTTAAAGTACCAGACAATAGCTGAGTGCCAGCCAGCCCTCTACCCTGTTACATGTGTGCTGTAATTTCAAGCATTTGACTGTGACATGACCGGTCATACTATCTGACTTTTTCTTCTCAACCACCTGACTTTTCCTTAACTGATGATTCTCAGTGATCGACATCAAGCTGGACAAACCAGCGGAGCCCACTGTGCCCGAGGGCGGGTGCTCATGTTAATGCAGAGCTGAAATCGGACAGCTCCCTTCACACCATAGGCTTGTTGTGTTGCTTACTACTGGTTAGCTTCCAGTTGACTTCTCTAATTGGATATAGGATGCGGGCCTTGTATCTGATTGGACAAATCAAATGTTATCTTTCAGTCTTGTTCAGTTGTAAAATATTGTATACTTTGTCAATATGTAAGTGACTGGAGGAGAAAAGGGAAAAAAAAAAACCCAACCAAATGTTGAAATGAAAACGAACAAAAAACAGTTTTGGAAAAATGAAAAAGGAGAAAACGGGAAAACCAACGGAATTCTTTTCGCTGTTATGTTTTGTATTTTTTATATATAAAAAGGGAAAGCACCAAAAATGATGCCTAAACATAGAGGGAGAAATAACAGGGAGGTCGGCCGTTTTTCTAGATGGCCGAACACGTCTGAATGTCTGCAGCACGCATGCACGTTGATCTGATCTTTGACCTTTGACCTTTGGCCTACCCTCCAGGGTCTCTGCACTCTGGAAGGAGGTTGACTATCTTAGAATGTTTTATAGCATCTCTCTATAGCATCTCATGACAAAATGTATCTCATTTGATATTCCCACAAGAGTCAACTTCCAGTAGGTTCACCTAACAGTAGCTGTGAAAATGTGGCACTCTATCTCTCTATGGGTTTAACTTTTATAGAACAAACTGTACTGTGGTTTAAAAAAAAAAGAAAAGAAGTAATAAAAAAGACAACTTACTATCACAACTCCCTCTCCCTCCAACCACTCCTCCCCCTTCCTCCTTTCCTCTAACCCTCTGTCCTTCCCACTCTCCCCATCCCTCCATCCTGGTAATACACATATAACGATCCACTGTAATGCACTGCACTGTATATAATAATGTAATATGTATGTTGTGAACGTCCCTCTGTAGAAGTGGTCCTTGTTCACCAGTATGAATAATGTAATAATGTTTAATGATTAATAAATTACAGATTAAAGGGCTTCACTCTTCTAACCATCAACATCCACCTGGTAGCACAATGGTCTACTCTATTTAATTTGGGGTTTTACAGTTTTACATCCTCATAGCATTTCAAGCCACAAAGAGAAATAGAAGAGGCCAAGTTTGGTTAGATTTCACACAGGTTTTCATGTCTGCAAAGGTTCTGTATACAACACTCAGAGCATTAATATAGCAGCATACCACCACTTGCTGTGTAAAGATACAGTGGAGTGATGGCGTCCTGAGCAGAGAATGAAGTCACGCTCCCTCTGTATGTTTTGTAAGCTTCAAGCTTCTCTGTTCTTTGTTGTGGTAAGTTGGTAGTGAGCATGCATCTTAGTGCATGAGCTCAGTGTTGCTGCTTTGCGCTGCACTCACATGGCAGTCAATCTCAGGACCCATAGGCTATCAGTCTGACTACAATAAAGCCTTGGGGGGCAGCAGCCAACATTTCGGGCTGTAGCCATTTCAGCTAATAGTCTCTACTTAAGCAGATAAAAAAAGCTAATAAAGCTATAGTTAACTCATCTGCAGCCAGTGGCCAATGTGAACTCTTTACCTGCTGCTCAGAAGTGATTAACAAATACTTCTCAGACTAAAAACGCAAACCAGAACACTTTTGACTCTAAATCTTGTCCCATCACCTACAGATTGTGCATACATGTGCAAAATCTGTTTATAGAGATGATCTGTTTATATTACTGCGAATATTAGGGGTTGTCACTGAAAGGTAGCGCCCACCCTGGTTAATCCTGTTGGCTCTGTCACCACTGTAATTGTTGTTTAGTGCTTTTTATGGAGTTAGCATTGTTAGCTGTTAGTCTCTTGCTCAGCCACCTCCATGTGAAGAATCATGTGCAGACAGTTCATACACACTGAATTTCACATAGAGCTCCTTGAACCACATTACCAGTTTTTTGAAAGGCCATTGTAGACTATAAAGTTCGTTTGTAATATTATCTTATACAGTCTATGGTTTCCTGCTAAATGAGAAAATGTTTAAAGGACTACCTCATTTTAGAACAGGCTTTCTCTTGCAACACATAATTTCATTAGGTGTTTTTTTTTTACTGTCTTCACACCTCACTTTAATATCTTTGGTTAACGTTGCACAAATAACAAGAAGTGATAGCAAAACCCCGCCTGCTGGCAGCAGATTGCTGTTTTCTGCTAAGAAAATAGTAGTAACTTCTCCATATATTAACCAAAGTTGTTATGATCTAAAGTATACATTAAATAAAACACTTGATGGTATAGGGCAGAGACTGTACATTAGAGAGAGAGGATACATTCTGTGGCAGATTAAAAATGCAGTCTGAAAGAATTATATCCCACTTTAACTTTTGCTAGGAAAATAGTAAATCCTCTATATTCACCAAGGTTATTGGGCATGATCTGAAGTAGATACAAATAAAATACTTGATGGTAGGGCAGAGAATGTGTATTATGGAGGGGGTAACATATTTTGGCAGTCTGCATGTCCAATGATTATTATCTTTAAATCTTTAAGGAGGAGGAATTCAGAATTATTTACAATATCCAAAAGTAGGCTATCATTTGTAAAGGAAACATAGAATACAGGAACAAAGTATCGTTCACAATGCTGCATTTAGTTTAGTATTTTGTAGCCAACAGTTAGCCCTAACTGACATTTAGCATTGCATGACCGCCTTACACATTAGATTCATTCTTGCTCTTTTGTTGAAATGTTCATACTGAAGAATCAGATACAGAACTGCCAAAACTGGGTTACCATGGACTGCCTATATGCAATATATTTCGTTATAGTTATCCTTAAAAATAAAAGGGGTTTATTTTGTTTGATTTGCTCTCCATATAAAACCTTTTTATGCCGCTTTGCAAAATTAAACTGACAAAAAGTACCCAAATCAGAGTTTAGAATCTGACCAATCATCATAAAATTGCCTCAATCTTTTCCTTAGAAAAGTGAATGTATATACTGATAATGTAACCAAATACAATCACAAACAAAAATCATCGGCCAAAGTGACAAAGTTACAGTTACAAAAATGAAAAAAATATAATAGAAGACATACAGTAAAATAAGTCTTTTAGATGATGTTACACAATGTTTGATGTAACGCTCATATGAACCGATGTAAGCTTTTAAAAGTCTTTTATCACAGAGCTAGGTCAGAATATTACGTGGACTATGCAGGGCATTAGTTGTAATGAACTGAAATGGCATTTGGTTTTGATGTCATCAGCTATCAGTCACTGAGCTGAACTGGAGCTGCGCATACTGTACTCAGGGGTCAAAGTCCAACGGTCATACAATCTAACTTTGCTTTGATGGTACCAGAAGGAGCCCAAATTATCACAACCTGCCTAAAACCATTTCTAGCACATTAGAGTCTTTTTAAGAGTGTAGTTTGTTCAATGAGAACAAAGTGACACAGTAACAGCGACTGAGGCAAATGGGCTGAGAGCAATCAACCAACCATATAATCAACCTGTCAATCAGTTAATTGTTTACAGTGTTCATTTTTCTCTTGCTAATAACAGTCATAATAATCACTCTAATCCTGAGCTCCCTGCGGTGACTCAGTGTCTGAAAACCTGATAGTTAAGGGGAAGTTGAGGTGGAAAGAACCTTTTAAGAAGGAAACTGTCAGTGTGACGTTTTCAGGTCGCTTACACTCAGCCCTCCTAATGAGAGAGGACAGGTATTCCCCTAGATGGACAGCTCGTCATTCGATCCCCCTGAGGTTTAACAGGCGCACGGAGACAGTTAGTGCTGTAAGTGGAGAAATGAACTCCACAGAGACAAGAGGTCGAGGGTGACCTCGGTTGAATTTCCTCAAGGGTGAAACTTTCAGTGTGGAGTTTCTGAAAATCTCAGCAAGTCAAAATGACCAGCAATAGTTTTTCTACATAGTGCATGATGATAAATATACATAGAATATACATAGATTAGAAACAGAAACTCTGGATTATATGAAAAAAGCCATGAAACACAAATGATTGATGATATATCAGCATGAGACGATGCACCTGTACATAATGTTCTTCCTTGAGAAGGACACACCTCTTCCATCCAGAGTTCCTCTTGTAAGATCTCAGGTCCTCTCAGGTCTGAATCACTTTGGATCTCATTTTCACACAAAGTAGACCATGACCAGAGTGGAAGCTTTAAGGGACATAAACCTTCGCTCCCTGCTGAGGGAGCTGCGGACCGATATTGCTATGGCTGTAGACGACCCTTTCCCTCTCGTCTACGGTTTGGTGGACAAGAACATCATCACTGACCAACTACTGAAGGTGAGAAAAACATGGAAATCTGAATGTAGAGATCATTTTCATTTTGTTCAGAAATGTCACTTGTTTCCACTTGTTTTGTTTTTTCATTTTTATTACAAGCGTTTGCAATTTGTGCAACCATCAAACACTGAAAACATAATGACTTATTAAAGGACCTTTCTTCTCTTGTTGTCCACAAACTAATTCAGATTATAATCCTGTAACACCTTGGATTATGACATGTATTCGCAGGACTATATGGTGCTATTCAGGCTGCAGAGTTCATATTCTTCTTTTTGTTTCCATAGGACACTCTAGAGAAGGAAGGCAGAGAAGGGATCCATAAGGCCATGTACTCCCTCCTGACCTGGGTCCTGGAGCAGAGCAGATCTACCATCCAGGCTTTCTGGAGCAACTTGTCCAAAGACTACAACCTGGACAGCTACCCCAAGCTACAGACGCTGCTCACGAACCTGCACTCCAGTGTGTAACATTCACCAAAATATTTGTCAAATGTTTATAGTGTGTCTGTTTGACCATTTTAACTTGATTGCAATGTATATTCTAGGACTTAACAAAACAGAGAAGTAGGGTACTGTCCTTATACTTCTATATGTCTCTTATTTAACAGATTTATAAGCCAAGTTTATCATAAAAAACAAACTGCTACTAAAGTAATAAAACCAATATTGATACTGGGAATTTCTAGCATTACACATCAGTGCACTGTAAGCTCAATAAAAGACTGAGATTTAATTTCAAGATACGATTTAAATGTGTCCAATTTTTAGAAAAGTTAAAGGGACAACTCACAACAAAATCAAAAACACATATTTTCCCTCTTACCTGTAGTGCTATTAATCAGTCTAGATTGTTGATAGAAGGAAGCGTGTGTCTACTGCTAGCTCACCTAGCAGCCCTAATGTCACAGTTCAGCTGAGGAGGATGCCGTTAATGTTTACATCTCACACTGTCACTAGCATGAGCCTCTCGTCCATGAGTAGATGCACACTTCCTTCTGTGCGGTGATACGGTTTGCTGGTGTCGTTCATTAGAAAGAAAATAGTTCCTACATGACACTGCTTACAACAAGATCTGTGAGTTATCTTGAGTAACCCAAACTAGTCTCACTCCGAAGTCGTCGAAATCTGGCACTTGGGCAGTGACTTGCAGCGTCGGACCGATATCTCCAACACTCTGCAACTCACACCAAAAAAATCCAGACTGATAAATAGCACTACAGGTAAGAGGAGAAATGTGTATTTTTGATTTGGGGGTGAACTGTCTCTTTAAGAGTTAAGCGATTTGTAGAGAGTAATGTGACTAGAAGTCAAAGCTACCATCTCCCACATTAGTTCTTATCAGTGCTCCCTGTACGTTAAGGACAGAGTTTTCTATCTGTGACATTCAAAACAGTTTATAAAGTTTAGTCTTTAATATTTTTGCCTTTTTCTGACATTTTGATGACAGGACGGGATGATGCGGGTTCCAAAGCTGAGAAGAAATCCTCTGGAGGCCACAAAACATCTCACGTCAAGAAAAGGAGCCATGAGGACAGAGAGACAAACTCACACAGTCTGCATTTAAAGTATCATGCCAAGACAAGCGATGGACCAGGTTATTTCCCAGAATACATCTCTTCTGACTCTGTTTTCTAACAACAACAATGATTATAGTAAAACATGTATTTTTTTTCCTAGTGGGTAAAGTGAGGCTGTACAGAGTGAAGAGTGAAACTGCGGCCCCACAGCTAACATCTGGAACCAGTAATTACAAATCAATCATGTTCTAAAATAAATAGATAAATAAATGGTCAAATATAACAGACACATTTAACCTTTGTTCTACCTCAGGTGTTCAGGCCGTGTCGTCTTCAGTCCAGATACCCGCCCCTCTGTCTTCCTCCTCCTCCTCTGCCTCCTTAACTGAGCTGCCAGTTGGCCCCAAATCCACAGAGAAGATCCACATCAAACAGATGCTTGGCTCAGATGGTACGCCACTGTTTATATGTATAAAACTGCCCTGCATCATCAGGACACCAAATATGAATGTTTAAATTCTGAAAATAAATTGGATGTAAAGAAATACAGAGCTACACCATGCAACCACAGTGAAATGTATGAGTGAGCACTGAAGATATACTGAGTACTACAAAACACAGAAAGCATAATATGGGAATCAGCAATCAATGCTGATAAAAAAATATTTGCAAAAGTATTTTCTATTCAACAGGAAGTGGCTTAAAGTGCATAAAATTCGGTGGAGAGTTTTATTCCTCCGGTCAGTCAGAGGAGATAAATGGAGCATCCATGTCCAAAGCTGTTGAGAACCTGTTTCACCATGAGGGGGAGACAACCACAAGCATGGTAGATGAACTCATTCACAGCCTTTCATTTTGAATGTGTGTGTATTATAAATACCTCATAATGTTCTGTATCTCTGAGTGTGTAGGGTCAATATAACGATGATGAGTGTGCGGTGTGTAAGGATGGAGGGGAGCTGATTTGTTGTGATGGCTGTCCTCGAGCTTTTCATCTGACCTGCCTGGACCCTCCACTTACATGTATACCAAGGTGAAAAATACAAGATCTATATGTGTGTGTAATTCTTTCTGTATATTAGCTTACCTTGGGGTTTTTTCAACTCTGAAAAGGTTTTAATGTTGGATTAAATGTTTCATCTGCAGTGGCACTTGGCAGTGTGAATGGTGCTGTGGAAACAGAGTGAAAAGAGAGAAAGCCCAACTTCCTTTACAGGTAAGTGTCCGAAGAAAGGTTATTACATAAAGAAATTTACAGGTAGACTGACTGGTGTACATATAGACTGTAAATATTTTTTTGTGTAAAGGTGAAATGAACTATTTATGACCTGCTTCTTAAAATAAACACTGCATTTCCAACACTTTTTCTATCTTTTTATATCTTAAATTCTGTGGAAAGATTGTTGATTGTTGAGTCACATTCCCTGGTCATCAACATCTGATGCTTTGGGTTGGTGGTCAGTCCGACTACCAACCAAAGGTTGTCAATATCTGACATCCTTAACATAAGATTCAAAAATCAGCTGTCTGTCTTCAGAACTGCACACTGAATCTTGAAGTAATGGTGTACGACACTCAGAACGTCACTATTAGGAGTGCAAATCACATGTTTCATCACAATATGACATTATGTCAGTTCTTTGGACAACAATATGATATTTTCTGATATGACAACATCTGCCACGACATGATTTGATGCAATCTGGGGGCCTGGGAATGATATGAGACAATATCATTGTCTTTTTCTGGCTGCCCAGGCTGCACACAGTTTGAATGTTTAGGAAGGAGGTGCAGTTGGACAAAAATGGTGACACAAACATGCCATGGCTTCCTACGATCATACTGTGCTTGAAATACACAACACTGCTTCCATGATCAATGGAGGTACTGCTCTGTTTTGTCAGTATCCATAAGCTGTCAGACAACGTGCACAAATACTGACGAAATATCTGATGTTGAGCTGCTCAACTCAGGTGTCTCCATGTTGAGAGCCATGTGCAGACAATCCCAGCTCAGACTCTGAATCATAGATTTGCTCTGTATGTCGCATACAGCTCCTTTAACATAAATGATAGCGGGTGTTGCCTCTGTTCCTCCTCTATACATCTTCATGATCTGACAGCACAATATAAAGTCTGACAGTTTTTTAGTCTGCAGGATTTTTGCTCTCCACTTTCTATTACTGATCATGGTCATGATATTTTATATCACAGCCACTCGTTGCCCAGCCGCGGCAAACAAACACAAGCTCCAGTAACTCCATCATAGACGTCCCCTTCTTCTCCTCGCTGTCATCCTCGTCTCTCACCAGCGTCACAGCTTCTACAAATGAGCCCAGTGGCAGAAACCAGGTAAAGACTTGTTGATGTTCTGCTTGGTGCAATCTTTATTTTATCATCATCATGCTTTTAAAATAACTTCCATTTAACTCCCTTTGCTGCTACTTGAAAAAACTGTCCTGTTTCCTAAAATGTGTGACCAGTGTTCAGGTGGAGAGCTGCACAGTGTGAGGGAGGTGTGTGGAGTTTGTCACCTGGGAGGAGGAGACCTGACTCCCTGCCTCCAGTGTTTGCAGCACTTCCACACACACTGCCACTTTTCCAAGTAAGACATCCACTCCCCACTTCTTCTGTAACTGTATTATCTGACAGCAGACTCATGATGAGACGTCATCAGAAGATGACAACATGTGAATACTTCCCACAAGCATGACGAACTCTAATCACGGCCTCAGTGTGATCTATGCATCAGTGTGTACATATGTTCCTACTGGCAGAGACCTTCCTGTGAATTCCTGTTTGTGTTAGTATTGATCAACAATGTGCATTAAGGGTGTGATCACTGTCTGGCTAATGTTGACTAATGGATCGTAAATGGACTGCAGGGTATACAGTATAATGTATACTGTAAACGAAGATCAATGATTTTACAAATGCTCCCAGAGATACAAAATCCATGTGATGATCTCATGTAGCACTGCTTATTTGACTTTTTGTTCAGAATGCTTCTGTGTGATAAATTTAAGATTCCCTTTACCATGTTTAGTAGAATTCTAACAATTTCTTCAAATCTTTTAGTGTCTTATAAATGTCACATGATCCTAGGGAATCGTTGGATAATATTTTTACATACTGAGTCAATCTAAAAAGAAATGGTCCCTCTCTGTTTCCTCTTGAGTGTTGGATATCACATATTGATGGACAGTAACATTATACAGCACAGAAAACAGTCTGACTCACTCACAGTGTGCTTGTGTTTGCTAGAGGGAGATCCATCTGCTTGTCTTGCTCCAGGCCCTGGGGCAGCTCTGCAGAGAGGGAGGCTGAATCATCCAGAGGCTTACAGGTGTGTCTGCACATGTGTGCGTGTGTACAGATGATATATACACCTTCATTATCTCAATGTAATGGAGTGTAATATGAGTAATCTCTCCCACGTGTGTGTGTGTGTGTGTGTGTGTCTTCAGCTCACCCCAGTGGTTCAAAACACAATCAGTCATGATCAGAGCTCCTCTGTCACTGAGCCCGTCCTCCATAAAGATGAACTGGACTCCATCCTGGGAGATGTGAGTGAGGTTCAGTTACAGATGCAGACGTGATATGAATATAACCATGCATGTCAGACACAACATGGTGGCACGTCTTATCACACAGACAGAGAATGAGCTGTCATTGTGCTCTTGTGCTGTAGTCTAGTTTCTGTTTTATACAAAAGATATTCATGTGCAAATGTTGAAGTCCAACTGTGTGTTATAGAGGTTCAACCCCAAAAAGCTAAAACCTTGTTATTTTTGTGCTTCTTCTTTATTATAAATCTTCTTCATAAATGTTTTGAAAGTTCCTGTGAGATGGTACGTCGTAGACACATGAAATTTTCACCAGTGATAGGAAGTTGTAGGCAAATGCTGCTCAACAAAGAAGGCCCCAGTTAGCCTTATGGAGTGTAAATGTCAACCTTGAGTCCTATATTGTAAGTCCAATTTACACCAAACTAGGTACATACATTCATTTATTTACACCCTACAAATTTGCCTTGAAACATGAAAGTCCACCTGGTTAGATTTTCCAGCATTTTTGATTTTTTGAAACATAAATTTTTGACATCTCCTAAACTGAAGCTCTGATTGCCTCCACATTTTTTGTGGATAATTATTGGACATTAGACTCACAAGTCAGTCTTTAGACGCTTTGCTTAACTAAAGACTGATGACTTTCTCCCTGATTTTGTGTTTAGATGGGCGGATACAATTTCAGAGTTTTAAAAAACTCCCTACGTTGCAGAACCAATAGTAAACCTGCAGGGCGGTCCTTCGGTGGCTCGCTGAACTCTTGTGCTTGTAAACATAGTCCTACTAGAAACACGTGTAGCGGTACAAAATGGCTCAGCCGTGCTCGCAGAAAATGCTGTCAAAGTTAGTGGATGTTTGTCGCGTTTGCGGTGACACATTCTCGCCAACTAAAACAAACAAATATAATCTTTTACAAGGCCATGACTCATCCATCCGGCTGGACTATAGAGGGAATCGCCTTGTTGTTTACAAATACTTCCAGGTAGAAAACCAGCAGAGCTTTTGGCTATATATATATATATAGCCTATATATCACATTTTTCACATCACTGTATCACCGTTTGGACTAATCCGATGTTTGTAAAGTCTATAAACACAATGACTGAACAAACATTACTATTTCTGTGTGCACATTTAGCTGGGCTAACCGTTAGCTGTTAGCCCTGTTAGCCGTTAGCAGTGTCTGTAATAGGTAATAACTCATTAAACGGTCCGTGAAAAAAAAATCTTTTCCAGCGGATATCTTAGTTACAACATGATTGAGCTAGCAAAGCAGTTTTGTGTTGCTATGTGTGGTATTTATTCAGTTTTGGGAAATCACGATGTCTAGAAAGCATCAGTGGCTGCAGCTGACAGGGACAGCTAACAGCAGCAGCAAAGCTAACATCAGGACGTCATCTGTTAAAAGCCTCCCGTTGTCGGATACGACATGAAACTACTCCAGTTAGCTCAATCATGTTGTAACTAAGACATCCGCGAGAGAAAATATTTTCTTCACGGATGAGCACACGTTTGATGAAACGGAGTTTAATCTCTCGGCATCCATTTTCAAGCTCTCTGTGTGTTTGTTTCTTTGCGGACGAGAAAAGGGGGAGCGCACATTTCCGAGAAGGCGTGTCCTTTTCAAAAATGCAAGAGGCGTTGCTTTGTTGCCGGCCGTTTTCGCCGGTGTGTCAGAGGCCGTTTACACGTTGCCGGCTATTTTCATAAACGGACATTTCACCGTCTCCGTTTTCAAAAAGATCTTCGTTTACACTTACCCGTGTATATATACACAAGAGCATGCCAAACCTGTAGGTGGCAGTGTAACGAGAAGCTCAAGCCTTCCATGTATCCATTGTCACCATAGCAACATAGGTCGCACTTTTTACACAGGCGCAAGTTCCGGCGCATACTGTGACGTGGGCTGCCTATAACTCCGTTTATCTGCGTTTATCTCAGTTTACATGCAAACGCGCAACCGGAGTTTTCCAAAATCTCCACTCTGGCCGGAGTTTTTAGAAAGACTCGTTTTCAGAGGAGAAATCTCTGTTTGCGTGTAAACGAAGGGCACAAACGAAGGAAGATGTCTCCGTTTATCAAAATCACCGTGTACGTGTAAACGGCCTCTCAAACACACTTTAGAAAGGAGTGTCCCCAGACTATCAGAAGGCGGAGATCTCTGATTGTTTGGTGGCGAGACTAATTGGACATTGCTTATAAAATGACTGATGATCTTTAAAAGGATGTTGCTTAGCACATCAGCAGATCATATTCCTCAACCGCTGGGCCAATTGTCACTAAACTTCGGTCATGCCCACATTAGTACTTGAAATATACCCTAAGAATTTCATTCAAATTGTTGACTGGGGGGGCACGACAACTGCAACAAATATATCACATGAATCAGACTATAAATCAGAAATTCTTTGTCTAATAATTACAAAACTCACAGGTTATATTCAATAACAATGTTGAACCAGGTGTGTAAAATTATTTTGAAATCACTCAATTGGAGGCTTCGCCAGTTCTAAGCATGTGCATTGGCCTTGTGCAAAAGTTTGCCCATAAATCAGTGACAGACAGACTTGGTATTGGTACTGTGTCATTGCTGCACTTGTGATAGCTTGAGGTGTAAACATTAATGGCGTCAACCTCGGCTGAGTTGTAACATTAGCTAACTCAATGGAGCTAGGTGAGCTAGCAGTAGATGCGTGCTTCCTTCTGCGCAATGATACGGTTGGTGGGTGTAGTTTGGTAGAAAGAAAATAGTTCCTACATGAAACTGCTCACAGCAAGGTCTGTGGATTATCTTGAGTAACTGGGTCATGATTTCTGGAACTAGACATTGCTGTTGAGTTTTTCAAATGTAGTTTTTGGCGCTTTGAGCACCACAAGCTGAGTTCCATCTAGTTCCATTATATTCGAGAGAAGGCAGATATCTCTATGGCAGATATCTCCAAAACAGTGCAACACACACCAAAACAGTTCAGACTGATAGCACTACAGAGGAAAAATATGAATTTTCGATTTTGGGGTGAGCTGTCCCTTTAAATAAGAATAGACTGCACTATAATGCATTGCGAAAAGGCAAAATTAGTTTGTCAGGTTAGGTAAAAATGTATTTAATAATACCAAAAGATTTGCTCACAGTATAGTTAAATATGTTTCTTACCTCCTGGTTGTAAAAAGGATTTTGGTCTCAAGGCACAATGAACTCTTAACACCGAGGACAGGAAACTGATGAGGGTCATTGTAGGTCATCTTATTCACTTCATCTTTATTTTCATTTTCAAAACTGTTGTTGAAACACATAACTCTTAACACATTTATAAACTAAGATAATCAGATCTGAAATATTTCATTTTGTTTCCTGGCTGCACTTTTTAGTCTGAATGAAATCTGAATGTGCTGACAGAATGACCTTAAACTAAAAACATAACCTGATATAACTTGATAACTGCAGTAATAATCTGGTAGAGATTGTTGCTATGTGATATCATTGTTGTCACTGACATCATCCTGTACATGTCAAATGATGTCACCGGGACTTTTGCTCAGTGATTGATCCTACTGTGTTTTTCTCTGCTCGTATCTCAGCCGGGCTCCATCGACGGCATCTTGCAGTGGGCGTTCCACAACATCTCTCGACCTCTTCCAGACTCTCAGGGATGCTACCAGTGACAGACAGATGATCTGCACTCATGGATGAGCTCTCGCAGTCTGAAGTTATACTGTAAAGTGACAATGATCATATGAATATAGGTGATTAAATGAACTAAACAAACAAAAGGTATAACTGAACTCATTCTGTACAAAGGCTTTTGAACAGTAATACATCGTGTCACCCATTGGTTTGTGGAGTCCTGTTTTGAAGCCCTGAGTTCGGCATTTTGGCTGTTGCTGCTTTGGATTTTTTGGAGCAAGAAGTGACCATACTGGGACTAAAGGGTGGAGCTGTGGGATGCAGAGCAAGGGGTGGAACTGACTCATATACCCCTTTTCCACCAATATAGGCAATAGACTGTGTGTGTGGGGGTATTATTTTTTTTTTTGGGGTGTGTCTGTTTGACATCACTGCCAGCCGGAAAACGGGTCAATAAACAGCAACAGCACAGAAATTTTTTTATATATATGTCTTAATTTTTCAGTCTTCCTTTCAAATTCTGTGCAGACTAATTTGGAATGAGCGCTGCTTGGGCAAAGACGGATGATAATTTGTGGTGGTGCGTGACTGTATTTGCAGGTAAAGGGGCTATAATTAGCATGTTCAGCCAGGTGTCCTGTTTCCATCAATGCTAATAAATACCCCGGTCTACTGCTGAATTATATGACCCGGGTGTGAATGCCGATTGTAACCTTTCCCATTATGTAAAAAAGCCAGATGTTAGCGGGTGTTTGTGGGTTTTCTGTGCAGTGGGAAAGGGGCTATCTATTGTACTGAGGCCTTACAGACAGCCTGTCAATCAAAGTGTCCAAATCCTCAATTAAGTATGACTTTAAGCCTTAATAAAATGAAAACGGGTGAGTTATAGAAGAATTTACCGCCTGTAAAAGTTTCCATGAATGTTTAAATTAGCTTTAGAGACCAAAACTTTTTCCATACCAGGCTGTAAACCTTTGCAGCCAGCCTCAAGTGGCCATTAGAGGAACTGCAGTTGTTGGCACTTTTGTGCTTGCTTCAATTTTCATTTTTTCAGCCCTGGAGGCTGCCACTTGTGCAGGATATGGTTGAGTTAATATGATACTACTACAAATTTATCATTAATTAAATTACCAACACCAACTGAGATGCAGTGAACATGGGACTTTTTGGGGCTCTCGTGTTGCTGCAGTGTTTCTATAATGCTTGTACCAAAGGACATTTGGAAGGTGGAGTAACTTCTATTTTTTTTCTAACCATCTTTATCACCCCCCAGTCTCGCCCCATCCTATTTTACAAGACCTCTAAATTTCCTCACGCTCTGTGTAGCATCACAACATGACTAATAGTGTTGGACATGGGGTCAGCACTGATGTGGGAGGGCTGGCAGCGAGCCTTGGACATCTCCTGCTAACTTTTACTAACTTGGCTTAACAAACTGAAATAAATCTGCTTTTTAAGGTTGTCAGTATCCCACAACTGCCACCCTGTAAACTCAACGATACATTTATGTACTTTTCTGATGTCTTAGCTGCATTGTCATCCGTATGTGTGTGTTTATATCTTAAGGAAAGCAGCGTTGGAGGGGATACGCATTGGAAAACAGTTCGAGATCAGCACAGAGGAGATCATTGTCTCATCACAGCAAATATAAGAGACACTGCAAACTTCCATATGTGTGCATATAAAGAGAAATAAATGTGGCTCTTGCTGTGCAGATCTGTGCAAGAATTCACATTCACACGTTACAACAGATGGTTTCAATACGATGAGGTATGCACGCTGAGAAATGCCTCTGTTTAACAGGAATTCCTTGAAGACTATCACTTAGATGTGGAATGTTGTTTTTGTCATGGGATTCAACAGTTTTAGCATGACTGCCAGAGGGATGGAGCTCAGCCAGGCAGATTTTTCTCCCCTCGGTATTTGGTTGCCATGGCTCTCAGCTCCTACAGGCCCAAAACAGAGGATGAGAAACATGTTCCAGTGTGTGTGTGTGTGTGTGTGTGTGTGTGTGTGTGTGTGTGTGTGTGTGTATCTGTGCATGTGTGTCTGTTTGTTTATGAATTCACTTTCTAAATGGCTCATGAAACATCCTGCATACTTTAGGGCTCTGTGTCCTTGCAGGGAAAGCAACTCTTTGAATATTTGCCAAAAGTACGAGGGAGAAAAATGTTAGGATATTCAATGCAATGAGAAAAATAAATCTGAAGTAAACTGGCACTGCTACACTGAGATCTTAATGCCCAAATTGCTGTCCAACTGATTTATTGTCATCCTCCAGTCCAATCTAATTGTAGAGGATGTACTTTAAGGCAATAATATGTACATGGATATGACTGCTGCTTTACTATCACACAACTTTCTCCTGGTTCTCGTTGCATACCACATGAGAGACCACATGGAAAGACTCCCTCGCATTTCAGAGGGAAAGAAGACATACATTTTCACCACTAGGTGGCACCCATCTGTGATTTACTGTCACTTGAGCCTGCACAGTGTTTCAAGCAGCCATCACAGTATGATAAGAGGAAGTATTTCCTTTTAACAAAACAAAGTTTGTGTGTGTAGAGACATTGGAAGTACCCAGATTTCATCAGAACAAAAGGAATTTGTCACAACTATTTCCAATGTAAATAAATAGTATGGAGCACGGAGAAAATATGTTTTGACGTAGGTTATTTTTACACAGACCAGTGTGGGAAAGTAATAACATTTACTCAAGTAGTTCAAGTACAGCTGAGGTTCTTGCACTCTGCTCTACATTTTGTGGCACTTTGTGCATCTGCTTTATTACATTTCAGTGGAAAAATATTGAACTTTAAAGCTCCAGTGTGTAGGATTTAGGGGGATATACTGGCAGAAATTAAATATATATTTTTTTCTTTTAGGGTACAATGACCTGGTAGAAAATAATACCTGCACACTTACATCTAAGCAGTGTTTTACTTTATTGTTGAGCTTTTGGTCTATTTGACCTTAATCAGAGCATACATAAGGCAACAATGGACAGGCAGGTGAAAGTAACCACTCTCCCGGGAGGTGGAGCTTCTACAACCAGGGTTGTGCACAGGTGTGTTGCATACTGCCAGTGATTAGACTGAGATTGGTTACTTTTACCTGCCTGTCCATTGTTGCCTTATGTATGCTCTGATAAAGGACAAACAGAACGAAAGCTCAACAATAAAGTAAGTGCGTGGAAGTCTTTTTCTATCAGTTTGGACGCTGATATTTCCGGCACCTTGCCAAGACCAAGCCAGGTGAAGCGGTGGTTGTTCCGCAGTATTTACAGGGTTTTATCACCTGAAAAGAATCGTCATGTTTTCCCTCAGAATGAGCCATTTATATCTACGGGCGGGTCCTCATCTGTGGAGGTCACCATGTTGCACCGCCATGTTTCTACAGTAGCCAGAATGGACAAACCAAACACTGGCTCTAGATAGGGACATTTGCGTTTTTGTGTCGGCCACCGCAGTTAGAAGCCCCTCCGCAATGAGCAACGATGATAAAACACTGATTTTTAATGTGAGACTACTATATTCAGTGTTTTATTGGTTTAAATCCCTGTGTTTGGGAGAGGAAGAGACCTCTGCGGATGATTCGGCTCCTGGTAAAGACCTCCTGAACGTCAGGAAAAAGGTGAGCACACATTAGCAGGTGCTGGGCTAACTTCCTGTCTCCGACATACCAGTCAGCATAAGATAACCACTGACTGGTGATGTGAAAGGAGACCTCTGCAGGTAATTCGGCTCACAGTTAAAATCTCCTGAATGTCTGGATCAGAAAAGGTAAGCACACATTAGCAGGTGCTGGGCTAGCAGCCAGTCTACAACATGCAAAATAACCTAGAAGAAACAGTGAACCATGAACTGCTCACAGTGTTTTTTATAGTTTTAATCACCTGATCCATTTGGTTTGGAGAGGAAGAGACCTCGGCGGATCATTTGGCTCCCGCTGGAAACCTCCCAAACAATTAACACTTATGGAATTATTTTTGGGAGAAGTTTCAGCTGGCTGCAGTCTGCAATCCCCACTGCTAGATGCAACTAAATCTCCTTAAATCTTACACACTGCTCCTTTAAGACTTAAAATGCTGTACACATATTGATTTATTAGTAATAATAATATAACACTCTGGAATGGGCCATTCTGTTGTCTTAGCAGAAGTACTTCTACTTTTTAACATTGTACTCCTCATGCTTTTGTACTTCTATTTAAGTAAATCTATTAATGCAAGGCTACAATGGGGGTGTCTCTCTATTCTTGTATTGTTTCCTGAAGTGACAGATCTTGACACAAAAATGAAGCCAATGCAATAATGCAAAACAACTGCAGTTTCTGGATTGGCCACGTGAAGCCAGTCAGTCCCAATAGACCCCCATGTTAAAATGCCTTTACAGCAGAAATAAACATGTTTACAGTTTCGGTCTCTATAGCTAATTTCATCATTTGTGACAACAGTACAGGGGATGGATTTTTATATAACTCATCAGTCACCTTGAGTGACAGACGGACTACAAGGCGTCGCTACACTCTATGAGTCAGATCCACCCCTCACTCCTCCACAGCTCCACCCTCTTGTGCAAATATATGGTCACTTCTGGCTCCAAAAATCCAAAATGGTGAAGGCCAAACTATCAAACTCAAAGCTTCAAAACTTCCGTCCACAAACCAATGGATGACAGCACAGTGGCTACATCAATTACTTTTTTACAGTCAATGGACAGCCATATTTCTCTCTCTCTCTTGAAAACTGTGCTTCAAAAATAAAACATATTATTGTGACCTTATCTATCCATTAAGACTCAGAAACACGAGTTATCTGGCATTTAGACGGCTGAGTTCAAATAAGGTTCAAAATCTATAATCGTATAGACATTTGGTTTCAGTTCAAAGTTTTTCATGTGCTAAATAGTAGCCTACTTTGTCATCAGCCTGACTGTTGCTCATCACCTCTGTTGTGACATATCTTCTCTGTAATCTTACATATCTTATTTCCTGCCACGCTGCATTCCTATATGATGTCTAATGAGACAGAAAT